ATAAAGTGCTAGTTGATGTCAAATGGCGGGTTTAGCTGCATCCTCAGACAACAGCCGGCCAATAGCATAGTGTGGATTAACTGGCTGTTGACAATGTTGTTAGTGTTGGGCCAGGGCTACAATAGGCTTGCCAAGTCCCCCCGGGGGGTGGGGAAACCCCCGCCCCAGAGGCCCGTTCCCCGCCGTCGTCGGATCGGGCCCCGGGGGGAACCCCACCCCCAAAGCACGCAACGTGCACGTCACCCGGAAGTGACATGACCATGCCAGGCACGCTGGGGGTGAGGCCATGGTCATCCGAGGGAAAACTCTATGGTTTTCCCTTGGATGGTCGTGGCCCCGCCCCCAGCATGCCCGGTGTGGTCGCGTCACTTCCGGGTGACGTGGTCGTGACGCGTGCTTTGGGGGTGGGGTTCCCCCCGCTCCAGGAACAAGCCGGGAGTCCCCCGCTCCAGCAGCAGGTAAGACTTGGCAACCCTAGGCTACAATTTCTTGGGTGTGGCTCCCTAATCGAAGGCCTGGTGGAAGAGCTCCGTCTTGCAGGCCCTGCAGAACTGTAAGCGGTCCCACAGGGCCCTCATGTCATCCGGGAGCTCATTCCACCAGTAAGGGGCCGCCACTGAAAAAGCCCTGGCCCTCATCACAGCCAGCGTTGCTTCTCTAGTGCCCGGTAGGGCCAAGCGGTTTTGGGACCCCGATCATAGTGCTCTCTGGGGAACCTCTGAGGATGCCAGTCACAGTCAGGTCCTACAATGCCAAGACCATGGCCAGACAGCCCGGAAAATCCACAACAACGAATGAACAGTTAAAAGAGAATTAATCTAATTGGCAATGATTTCTAAGTCCCACGGCATTAAAACAACTGCAAAGAGAGGGCCCGCCGGCCAAAGTGCAGTAACAAGTCAGTAACGTGGGCAGGTTGCAAGGGGCGATTTTCAGCAGGGGAGGCCAAAATAATTGGGTGTCCGCCACAGCAGCCAATGGCCTGGTGGAACAGCTCTGTGATACTGCAATAAGGCTCTGTGATACTGCAATAAGTCTTGCAGGGCCCTGATCTCAAGCGGGAGCATATTCCACCATAGGCGTAATCTTCATGGGGGCGGCGGGGCTTCAGCCCCCACCGAACGTTATTTTGCCCCAGGGCAAACAGCCACGGGTCTTCTGGTGGGGTTACGGGCTCTTTCTGAATGACTGCGTTACAAATTGTAAATTTAAATTGGTCGCCGGATTCATTACTGCCTCCCTTTGATTTCAGTCAGCCGTGAAAAATTGTACTGGTTGTCTTGTGCCTCTGGCCCAGCCCCAGCCCCCCCCCCGGGAAATTGGAAAGTCTACGCCCCTGTATTCCACCAAGCTGGGGCCAGGGCAGAAAAAGCCCTGGCCCTGTTTGAGGCTAAGCGGACGTCCCTTGGGCCAGGGACAACCAGCAAATGTTAGCTCTTTTAAGATAAGCAGAAGATGTTCCCCTGTTTTCTGGACCCACAGATGTTTCCAAAGCCCTGCCAAGGGCAGTCCGGGCTTCAAAGCATTACAGCCATCAATCTGAGAGCAATTTGCTAAACTCTGCTTGTCGAACATGTTAGTTTATGTTCCGGGACGACTGCCACGCTATTATGTTTTGTCAGAGGAAGTAACAGCTAGGCTGACCCCCGTTCGCCAGCTCGTTTTGATGTCGGGAAATTATCAGGCGCTCTGTTTATCTTCTCAAACAGAAGAAGTATGACTATGAAGTGTTTGTGTTTGGAGTGCCCTGCAGGCCTGGGGGGGGCTTGTAATCCCGCAAAGGCACTTCTTGGCATACCTGATTAGACAACCAAAAGAAGACCCTCGCATGCAATTAACTTTCCAGGGCTTTGAGGAAGGTTGAACTCATTTGCAGCAGGGAATGTTATTGAACTGGTACCGCGGGTGAGATAAATGCTCTGTCCTCGCCACACTTTTGTCGGAACGTTCTGTATCAGGCGGGCGCTCGTCATCTCAATGACATGTGAAATTACAAAACTGTGCAGCAGTTCCAGAAGCAGCCCATTTTCCTCCCCTCCCGCCCCCCAGGAAGGGTTGGCCCGGAGCACATTTGCATTTGAACCAAAATAATCCGAGAGAACTCCAAGCATCTGTAGACACTTGGCGTTCCATACTGCCAAGGAGCAATTTAGCTTCTCTGCAAAAAGTCGGGCGACGCTTTCAGTATCTGTTTCATCCGGTGGGATGTCAAACAGACCAGAACATTGTTGTTGTTGTTTTCATTATGAAACATCTGTGGAAATGAACCACACTAATCCAGAGACTCTAAAACAGTTCAGAATCTCGAAGAATCCCTGCTGGATCAGACCAGCGGTCCAT